ACTGGCCTCAGCCCCTTCATGGTGGAGGTCCCCGCTGGGATGCCTGGCCAGCCGGATGAGGGGCTGGTGGCTGTTTTCAGACTGGCCACAGCCCATTCAGGATAGGGGTCCCCCCTGGGGTGCCTGGCCAGCCTGGGTGGGGGACTAATGGCTATTTGTAGGCTGGCCAAGCCCCCCAGCTGGGACCCTCACCCCATGAGGGTGTGGCCATCCTGTGTGAGGGGCTGGTGGCTGTTTGTAGGCTGGCCACAGCCCCTTCAGGGTGGGGGTTCCTGCTGGGGTGCCTGGCCAGTCTCGGTGAGGGGCTGATGGGTGTTTGCAGGCTGGTCATAGCTTCTATCATTGACACTTTGTTGCCTTTTGCAGAGGCCACAGCAGAGCAGGTGGGAAGCTTGGCTTCCTCCATCGCCGGGGCAACCAAGCCTCCTGCTTGCTCCAGCTCTGTAGCTGCCAGCTGCCACCTTGGTTGGGTTAATTTGCATATAGTTGCTCTGATTGGCTGGTGGGCGTGGCTTGGGCTTAGCGAAGGTACAGTCAATTAGTGTCTTTGTCTTTATTAGTGTAGATACCTGCTTCATAAGGTTTTCATGTGGGTTAAATGAGATAATGTATGTAAACCATTTAGCAAAATGCTTGGTACAGAGTCAGTGCTTATTAACCGTTTGGCTGCTGACGTATTTTTTCGGACATATGCCAAAACTGTGGCACTAATTGCGCGTGTATGGGAAAAAATGTAAAACACTTTTCATACAATAAACTCACTTGTATTGCTTTGCAACAACAAAAATTAAAAAATACCAATTGTTTACATAAATTTGTTTTAAATAAGAAGAGCGCGATAGCGCTCCTTAGCAAACGGTTAAAACATACCTATTATTATAATTTGTTTAACCTCTCAAGCTAGAAACTGCTTCATCAACCTTTTATTTCCCTAAGTTCTTTCATTTAAGCAGTTAACCAAATTCTGCTCAGTTTACTTCAATTATTTTAATTTAGCCTCTTAATCCTCATCATAACCCACAATAAGAAATACATTTAATATTTTTATTATGTTCATTTGCAAATATTTGAAACAAAAGTTTTGTGAAATAATTTTGTTATTATTTGTAATGCATTCTGATTTTTTTTGTTTTGTTCTGTATTATTAAAACTTTTAAAAAGCTGTGCCCTGGCTGGTGTGGGTCAGCAGGTTGGAGCATCATTCTGTGCACCCAGGGGTCCAGGGTTCAATTCCCAGTCAAGGCACATACCCAGGAGACAACCGCTTGCTGTTTCCCTCTCTACCTCCCTCTCTCTCCTTACCTTCCTCTCTTCCCCCTTCTCTCCTTCTTCTCCCTTCTCCCTCTTAAAAAAAATCAATAAAAATGTATCCTTAGGTGAGGATTAAAATAATAATAAATAAAAGCTTGTCACAGCTATTAAAACTGATTTCAAAACAGTTTGAAAAACACTCGTCTAGAATTTTGCAATTTGCAAAATTGGACTAGTACTGAACTGGATTATGTTCAAGTGTAAATTTTCAATGACATAGAAAACAGATGAAGTGACTTGGACTTGGAGCTTATTTCAACTGCACTTTCTCTTTTTTCTTCATTTGTTCTATATAATTACCTATTCTCAATCTGGTTTTGCTACTGAAGGTGGAAATGTTTAGTTTTGCTTTTTCTGCTTATAGAATAAGATTACTCAGCAGTTGGTGTGACAGAAAATTCTCAACCACTTCTTATGTGTATTGTTTTCCTTAGGACAGAAATTAACATACATAGATTTTAAAGTTGTTAGCATAATTCTCAAAGAGAGACCTGAAAAAAAAACGTTCTTATTATAGAAATTTTAAAATGTATTTAGAAGAAGAAAGAATAGTGTAATGAATCCCCATTACCGTATTTGCCAGCGTATAAGACGACTGGGCGTATAAGACGACCCCCTAACATTTCCACTCAAAATACAGAGTTTGTTATATACTCGCCGTATAAGACTACCCCCTCTTCCGCACACCTTCCACACACCAAATAAAAGGTAAAACAATATCAGATTTGATTTTAACATTTTAA